GTGTACAGTATGAGCCAATCAGTGGCAGTAATGACAGAGCATGCGCTGTTACGCAAAAACCGTGATAGAGTGAAGCCGCGGAAGTCGAAGCGCGAAGTGGCGAGGGTTCACTGTACTTATATGTGTTTATTACTGTCACCATTTCCTTTAAATTCGCATTGGAGTTGAGAATAGTGTGATTTTTAAATTTAGTAATCAAAAGAAATTATGTCATTCTTAGACATGAATAAGTGAATGAAATGAATAAAGAGACATAAATGAATAAAATGATGCAACCAAAACCTATTGCAGTTAGAGCTTTATAAGAAGATGGGTAACATTTCTTTGAGGTTTATGGTTGAACTGGATGAGTATCAATTAAAAGCTGGTGCTAGGATAATTATTTCTCTATTTTAAATTGTGTGGATTTTTCACAAACTTGATTAAATTGGCTAAAGTGGATTTCTTTGTTATGGAGGATAATTTTGGACCTATAAAAAAGTGGACAGAATAATGAACTCCTACATAGTAATGAACCCATTTCATAATCACATGACATTATGGTCATACAGCAAATTCTGTTCAGTATCTCAAGTTTTTTTCCCCCCAGAGTATCTCTGTAAGTTAGGGATTCTTTTTAAAAACATAAACCATACCACCATTGTCAATTGTTTTTTGTTGATGTTCAACTTTTCAGTTGTTTTAGAAGAGGCATGGTTTAATTTGTGAATCAGGAGCCAAGAAAGCCAACACTTTGTACTTGGTTGCTATAAATTAAAAGAAACTACACCACACAGATGGTACTCCTTACTGAGTGATATTTTATTTTAATTTCCTGCCAGTTTCTGGGGAATAGGAGCTGGATGGTGGCAATTGCTGCATCCTTTTGGAGTACTTTTAACTTGTTCTTATATATGACCTATAAGATGGTGGTTGAATATAGAGTAGTACCGTATATACTTGTGTATAAGCCGAGTTTTTTTTTTTAAAGCCGAGTTTTTCAGCACATTTTAATGCAGTTTTTGTGCTAAAATTAGGTGCCTCAGCTGATATCCGGGTCAGCTTATACTCGAGTATATATGGTAGTTCTCAAATACGCATGGACAGATTATTTAAAACACAGATTGTTAGACTCCAGGCCCAAAGTAACTGATTCAGTACATTTGGGGATAGGGTGGTGGTGATGCTAATAGTAGTAGTAAGTACTGTGAAGTTAGCTCATAGTGATTCAGGGTGAATTTGTATACAATGGTGTCCCAGCACAACTAAATGCTGGTTGGTCTTGCATCATCCTCCCAATTGTTATATTTGAGCCTGTTGTAGCCACTGGGTCAGTCCATTTTGCTGAGGGTCTTTGTCTGCTCCTCTGGTCCTTCTCCTGGCCAAGTATAATGTCCTTTTCCACAGATTGCTTTCTTGATAATATGCGAGATGAAGTCTCGTGATCCTTGGGAACTGATCATTTGCATTTAAAATAATTTGCTCATGTTGCAGATTATACTTCTGGAGACCACACTGTCATACTCACTGACCTTGAGGTTTGATCACGTAGATGTATTCCATTGGAATGCCCGAAACATATAGTGGTCTCTATATTGTTGTTAGGTGTTGTTGATGGAAGATAAGATTAAAACTAGAGTTAAGGGTGTATTGAGGCAAAGGAATTTGAGTAAAAATTTTGTCTACAAGTTGTGAACCAGAAGAATTGTATTTTAAGAGTAAAAGTGAATAAACCAA